GATGACCCAAAGCCTTGGGATCCTGCACCCACATGAGAGGCCCCGAAGAAGCTCCTGGCTTCTGGCTTCAGAACAGCTCCAGCCATTGTGACCAATTGGGGAGTGAATCATTGGGTGGAAGATCTTCCTCTCTGTCTCTCCTCCTCTCTGTATATCTCACTTTTCAATAAAAATCAAAATCTTTTAAAAATTAAAAATAAAATGAAATTTAAAAGATTTATATATTTTATACAAATAAAAAAAGATTTATTTATTTTTATTGGAAAGGCAGACTTACAGAGAGAAAAGGAGAGAAATCTTCTGTCTATTGGCTTATCCCTAAACGGCCACAACAGCCAGAACTGGACCTATCTGAAGCCAGGAACCAGGAGCTTCCTCCAGGTCTCCCACATGAGTGCAGGGGCTCAAGGACTTGGGCCATCCTCTGTTGCTTTCCCAGGCCATCCGTAGGGAAATGGATCAAGAGTGGAGCAGCTGGGACTTGCAGCAGAGCCCTTATGGGAAAACAGTGCCACAGGCAGAGGCATAAGCCACTACGCCACGGTGCCGGGACCAGAACATTTATTGAGCTTTTTCGTTTCTTTCAACAATGCTTTCTTGTTTTCAGAGTGCATGAGTTGTACTTTAGATTTATGCTTAAATATTTTTCCTTCTTTGTGTTATGACAGGAAGAACTATTTTTAATGTTAGTTTCAGATTGTTCACGGTTAATTTTTATAAAATTGACTTTATTTATTTGAAAAGCAGAATGATAGAAACAGAGCGAGAAAGAGAGAGGAAAAATAGCCTCCATCTGCTGGTTCGATCCCCAGACAGCTACAGTGGCCAGGATTGGGTCAGACTGAAAGCAGGAGCTGGGACCCCAACCGGTACACCAATGCAGGGGTAGGCACTGCAAGCAGTGGCTTCATCCACTGTGCCACAATGCCAACCCCCGCAACTGACTTTCACAACCTGCTCAGCCCATGGACCAGTTCTCATTTGTGTATTTTTTCGGGTTTTGGAAATACAGTGTTGTGTTGTCTCTGAACAGAGACAGTTCGACCTCCTCCTATCCAATTTCAGTGCCTTTGACTGCTTTTACCTAGCCAAACCCTCCTGCTCAGAGAGTGAAAGCAGCCAGTTTTCCACCTGCCCTGACAGGTGTGGTGTGCTCACAAATGGCCCAGCTCAGCCTGAGGTCAAGTTCTCATGGTCTTGACAGTTGGAGGGTTTTTATTAGTTTGTTTGTTTTTGTTTTGATTTTTTCCCCCATGAAAGGCATCGGATTTTTTTTAAAGATGTATTTATTTATTTGAAAGACATGGTTACACAATTACACAGAGGTCCCCCCACCCCCAATCTGCTGATTTACTTCCCAGATGGCTGCAGTAACCAGTGCTGGCCCAGGCCAAGTGCAAGAACCAGTGACTTCATCCGGGTCTCCTAAGTGGGTGCAGGGACCACCTTCTGGTGCCTTCGGAGGCATAATTAACAGAGAACTGGATCCGAAGCGGAGCAGCCAAGACTTGAACCCATATCCATAGGGGATGCCAGGATTGCAGGCAGGGCTGAAGCCACTATACCACAACATTGGCCCCAAGGCGGCTGGGTGTGGTCAGACTCTGTCTGTGCAGGAGACTGGGGCTTTGCCTGTCGTTTTCTTAGTGGGACTTCTGGCGTAGTGCTCTTAACTGTTCATGAGACGCTGCTGTCTCCCCCAAGGTCTTGGCTCGGGGTTAAGGAAGGGGACAGAGAGGGGCTGCCCTGGCCACACTGGACACCTTCTCCCAGCCTGTCTGACTGTGCCATTCCTGCCTCTTAACAGGGCATAGGACTGTGCGGGATAGAAACTGGCAACCCTGACACCTGTCCCACATCCACAGGTCAGATAGAAAGAAGACAGACAGATGTCAGGAAAGACTGACAGGGCCCTCCTCCTGCTTTCGCAGGCTCTTGCTACTAGCCAAAGCACCATCTCCCATCGCAGTGACTGGGTTTGAGTTCCACTGGGGCTCCCGACTCCACTGTCCTGCTAACGCGGACACCAGGAGGCAGCAGTGAATGCCCACCTTATTTCAGTTCCTGGCATCCAGCCCCAGTCATGTGGGCATTAGGAACGGTGGCGGGAAGCAGCAGCAGACAAAACTGCTCTCTCTGTCTTTCTCTCATTCTGCCTCTCAAATTCATTTAAAAAAAAAATCTGTCCTCACTTGACTGTTTTGCGACCTTCCCAGCACTTTGCACCACCTGACATTGCCTTCCACATTTCTCAGTTCACCTGTCCACGTCGTGGAATTCCCCAGGCCCTTGCCCATCACTGGTGCTAAAGCACCACCTACTAGCAAAGGAATGCTTTATTTCCTTGGGAAGTTCTGCAGAGCATCACCCGGCAATCAGGTCACTCATCCTGTGCAAGGGGACAGTCAGCAGACTGGGGTTCAGGAAAGCCACAGGGAATCGAAGTAGCAGGAGACCTTCGGATGTCTGGTCCCGGATGGACGGCATGGGTGGGGAGGAGCAGCTTTTAACCCAGCCCTGGCAGGTGTGCTAGTCCTGTAGGTCTCAGAAATCTGACAAGCTACTTGAGAATAAAACGATGATGAAAGATGATAAAAGAGGAAACGTCATCCCCAACAAAGAAACTAAGGAGATAGAAATTCTAGAAGGGGCAGACTGTGGATTAGCACAGAAAGGTGACACAGAAGTGCTCAGGTGGCTTTTTGGTGCCTGGAACCAACCTCCCTGGAGAGCTCCGCTCCAAAGCGCGCGCGCGCGCACACACACACACACACACACACACACACACACACACACACAGTACTGCGCCACCTGGTGCACATGATGTACAACTGCAGTTCTCTCCCTACGTTCTCCATCCCCCAAATCCCTCTTCCACTCACCCATACCATTTAGCTCCTGCTGTCCCCTCTGTGGGCACCTGGGAACGGTGACCAGTTGGCTGCTCATCAGCTCCGCCTGCGCCCCCTCCCACTTAAGTGCAGACTTTTCTGAGTCTCCTCTGTGTGCTCACCACCCGGCTCCCACATAACAAGCAACTGATTTACAAAGGGGTTTGGAATTGTAAACATCAAACCATGGTGACATTCCCTCTTCAATTTGCACATTCCAGTCTCATAACAGCCCACTTCAAACTCCCCACCCAAGTCTAAGTGCTGCTCTGTGGTGGCTTAGTTAAAAAGGGTCACAATGGGACTCTGGCCGATGGGAAGGGAGTAGGGAGGGGCCGAGCCTGATACCCTGAGCCGGCATCCCTTTACCCATGAATAGTGGCGTTTTAGAGGCACCAGGCCCTTGAGACATGGCCGAGTGCTTTCTGCTTGTCCCCAGGAAATCCCGAGGGAATGGTTAAGTAGAAAATATGAACACACAGGCCGGCGTTGTGGCGTATTATGTAAAGCCAAAATCTGTGGTGCCACCAGCCCATAGTTTTTGAGTCCTGGCTGGTCCACTTCTGATCCAGATCCCTGTTGAGGCATCTGGGAAAGCAGCAGAGGATGGCCCAAGTACTTGGGTCCCAGAAGAAACTCCTGGTTCCTGGCTTCGGACCATCCCACCTCCAAACATTGTGGCCAACTGGGGAGTTGTATAAATATTGCAAAAGAATTAAAAAGTCAAGAAAAGGGAAATTTTAGACTCTGCTCCATGCCAGTCAGCCATGACCTAGGTGATGATGGAGCTGAACAGGAACTGCCCTAAAGAGATTTTAAAAACCTTGGGCCGGGGTCCAGCATGGTGGTTAGTGGCTAAAGTCCTCAAGTGCTGGGATCCCACGTGGACACCAGTTCATGTCCCACCTGCTCCACTTCCCATCCAGCTCCCTGCCTGTGGCCTGAGAAAGCAATGGAGGATGTTCCAAAGCCTTGGGTACCTGCACCAGTGTGGGAGACCTGGAAGAAGCTCCTGGATCCTGACTTCTGATAGGTTTAGCACTGGCTGTCATGACCACTTGGGGAATGAACAGCAGAAAGAAATCTTTCTGTGTCTTCTTTTCTTTCTCTAAATCTGTCTTTCCAATGAAAATAATTAAATCTTAAAACAAAACCTGGGGTCATTTCCCTGTGGGGGGATGAGGGGTGCTATGTGGGTGCTATAGAACACCAGTGAACAGGAGCAAAGGGCCCCACCGTCACAGAAGCAGCGTGCACAGGGTTTTGATGCTCAGTAACACAATATTTACTTCTTTTTGAACAAGGTATTTAGATGAACTTTTAACTTCTAACAAGAAACTTTTTAACACTTGAAACTATTTTTAACAGGGGAATGAGGGAATAGGAGGTGAAAAAACAGGCCCAAAGGGAGGCTAATGAGCAAAACACATCCACCCAGCAAAGGGCCCACTGGTGGGGTTGCTGGCAGCAGGAAGCCAGTGCCCAGCTTTTGCCTGTGACCAGCTCCCATCTCATTTGGTCTGGCTAATTTTCCAGAAGGCAGGCTGCTGGCCAGGGTGTATGCAGTCCCAGCTGCAGAGCCAGTAGAGGAGAATGGTGGAGCAGACAGGTTGGTAGGCACAGCCGCGTGGAAGGGACTTGGGGATGGCTTGCCAGAGGTCATAGGGCTGAGGTCAGAAGTTCCAGCTGGTGTAGCAGTTGCAGACTCCAATGGTATCCGGGGGTGTGGGTAGGGGTGCAGCTGGCCCCTGTTGCACCTGTGTGTTAGTCACAGGGGGTTACCCTGGAGAGGCTCAGGACAAAGAGCCCACTTCTGGGACCCCAGCTTCACGGATGAGGGCTTGTGGAAGGAAATTCTCAAACCAGGCTTACAAAGAGCGCTGAGACCCAACATGGTGTCTGCTGGGGCCCGGGCTTTCATCACAGGGGACCACAGACACCTAGTGGCTCGCTAACTGGGCGGGTGCTCGGCCAGGGAGCCCACGGTGCTTCAGCATCTTGCTGAAGCGAAGAAGGGAAGCAAAAAGCCCCCTTCCCCATTGTCTGTAGAAGGTGGGAAATGGCGTTTCTTTGTGTCCCAGAAGACAGAGCGCGATGTGGATCTTCCGTTTACAGCAAATGCTCATTCCGGGCCAGGCGCAGCAGCACCCAAGCCCTCCTGAAGAAAAAGAAGACGAAGCGAGCCAGGGCCGCTCTGCCGTGCAGCGGGGGATCCTGTTTCCAAAGAGAGGGAGGAGAATGTTAGGGGGAAAAAAGGATGAGACAGTGTAATCCCAAATTGAAAACACAATTACAGCATTGCTTGAGTTCAGGTGACCAGCAAGCTGCTTGGGTCACTTTGTGGGTGAGCAATTGTAACAGGACGTCAAGGCCTCCACGTGGCCTGCTGGGGTGACCCCATGGTGACCCACGGAAAGTCTGATGCCTTGGCTAGGGGACCGGCAGCCTGTCCCTTGGCCCTTCCAGAATGCGTCTGGAAAGCCGGCAGGTTGGCTGCCTGGACACAGGGAGCAGATGGGGCGTGGATGTGAGCCACGCTGCTGGTGATCAGCTTGCTTGGGAGCTGTAAATTGGCAGCACTGTGCTCCTGTGGGGGTCTCAGGAAGGGGAGGCCGAGGGGGCAGACCCCAAGGCTGTCTCCTACAGGGTTCTCACCGGGTGGCTGCACGTGGCTGCTGTCCCTTGGCTTCATAGAAAGCCCTTCCGGTGCCATCAAGGCCCTGACCAGTACCCCTCATCCTTGCTTGCTCTTACATCAAAACATTCAGCACCCTAGGACACTTGGATCAGTTGTTTATCCCTAATGAAGTCCTTGAAACTGGGGGCATTTTTGACTCTTTTGGCACTGCCATATCGCCAAGACTTAAGCAGAACCTGACACACAGCAGATACTTGATAAATATTAATTAAATGAATGAATGAATGATAAATCAGCAGTAAGCTCAGCCATCCAGATTTGTTTTATCAGTAACTGGAGTTTATTAAAGGCCTTGGCTCCCTGATACAGTGGATTCTAGTTAGAAAAGCTGAACGTACTTCCTACCAGCGTGGCAGAAAACAATACGCACCCTCACGCTTATATCCAAGGGTGCAGCTTAGAAGCCAACTGATTTCTGGTACCTTATAGTCAAACACTCGACTGTCTCTACTGTGACACCTGTGATGGAATCCATGGTGCTGTTGGGAAAACTAAAGGAAATATGTAAACATGTCTCAAAAGCTTGGGAAAAAATTATTCAGAAACTGCTAAGGGGTGGGTGCCTGGCTCAGCAATTAAGCCATCTTCTGGGCCACGTACATCACTTATCAGAGTCCAGCTCTGCTCCAGGTCCCCACGCCCTGCTAATGCAGATCTTGAACAGCAACAGGTAAAAGTAGCTGGGTCCCTGGCACCGACGTTGGAGCCCCGGACGGAGTTCCCAGCTCATGGCTTCAGCTGTTGATGCCACAGGGGAGTGAACCACAGAATGAAAGATTTTCTGTGTGTGTGTGTGTGTGTGTGTGTGTGTGTGCGCTGCTTTGCCTTCCAAAAAAGGAATTTTTAAAAATAAGTAATAAATTAGGTAAATGAACATCAGCTTTCCTGCCTTCTTTCTGACCGAGAAAGGCATTATTTGTATCAGACAGGGTCACGGTAAAAACAGATGGCATATTCAAACTAGGCTAATTCGGGAAGAGAAAATTGCAGACTGTCCACAGAGGTGTAGAGAAGTCATAGGGATGTGAACAGCAGAACTGTCACCACTCCCAAGCCTGTGGGCCAAGGAGGCGCAATCTCCCCAAAGGAGACCGTCTGCGGAGAAAAAAAAAAAAATGTCACTGCACAGCATTTGTGAATGAGAAGTCTGTTTTAAAATAATTCTCTATGTCAAAAAGTCCCAGGGCCCAGGTTTCAAGAAAACAAAGCAAAGAGTTGAACAAAAACCCCCAGATAATAAATGGTAAAACAGAAGATACTGTGCTGAAAGGCACAGAACCTTTCAGAAAACAACCAAGCATTCACTTCAGCGAAAAGTACAGGAGAGCCAAGTATGTGGCAGCTCAAATGTAACCAATTCATGAGACAAAAATGAGTTGTGGTGAGCTCCCTGGGAGGAAGTCCCCAGGGTGGAATAACAGTTTACTTAAGACATCTAGGGAATCAAAGTGACCCCAGGGCCTGGCACAATGGCTCAATGGCTAAATCCTCACCTTGCACACACCAGGATCCCATATGAGCACTGGCTCGTGCCCCAGCTGTTCCACTTTCCCACCCAGCTCCCTGCTTGTGACCTGGGAAAGCACAGAGGACGGGCCAAAGCCCTTAGACCATGTACCCTACGTGGGAGACCCAGAAGAAGCTCTTGGCTTTGGATTGTCTCAGCTCTGGCTGTTGTGGCTACTCAGGGAGTGAACAAGTAGATGGAAGATCTTTCTCTGTCTTTCGTTCTCTCTGTAAATCTGCCTTTCCTATAAAAATAAATCTTTCAAACAGAGTGACTCCAAAGGTAAATAATGATGGCTACTGAGGCCAGGTACCCTGGCAGCCACGAAATGCTGGTAGAGTAGCTTGATGCCAGCCTTCAGATAGCAAAGGATTCAACATTTCTGAGCCAAACTCAGGAGCAAATTTCTACATTATTTTTAAAACATGCTGAGGTCCATTTAGAGGTGTTTTTTAGATGCAATTTATAGTTTAGTACGTGATACATTGAAAAGTCTATGGTGCAGCCAGGTTTGTAAAACTCTGCAAGACAAGTTGGAACAAGCTAACGACAATAGACCAACAGAATAGAAGGAAAAGTCCAAAAACAGGGGTAATGGCTCAGTTAGCTAAATCCTCCCTTTGCTGGCGCCAGGATCCCCTGTGGGCGCCAGTTCTTGTCCCAGGTGCTCCACTTCTGGTCCAGCTCCCTGCTTGTGGCGTGGAAGGGCAGCAGATGTGCCCTTCCACATCTGCTTTGGAACTCTGCACCCACAGGGAAGACCTGGAAGAGGCTTTGGTGCCTGGCTCCTAGCTCCAGATTGGCTCAGCTCAGGACAGCTATTGCTGCCATTTGGGAAACAAACCAGTGGTAAATATCTTTCTCTGTCTCTCCTTCTCTCTGTAAATCTACTTTTCCTATAAAAATAAGTAAATATATATTTTTTTAAAGGACAGAAGTAGCCTTTTCAAGAATGGATACTAGGATGAGTCAATCCCCATATGCAAAAGCTGGAGCTCAAGGCATGCCTGGCTGGGCCAGACCCACTGTTCTGCAAGTATCAGAACAAGGGGTGGGTCATGTCAGGCTGTACGGTAACACTCACCATAATGTGAAAGAACCAGATCTGGGGGCAGATTCTTTAGGGGACTTTTGGGCTCACTTCTGTGGGACTGAAACACACTGGTCTTTGTGGAGAGCTGGGGGTGGTGACAGGCTGAGTCAGGCTGGATCACAGAATTCATCTGACATTGGATCTAGGGCTGGAAGAAGGCAGGTAGGGCCAGACTGTAGCATCCACCAGCACATGCAAAGGCCAGGACGGGGGGAAGACTGTACCAAGCAGGACTGTGCCACCTGCCAGCACATATGAGATCTGGGACTGGGTGCAGGCCTGATAGAAGAACTTGGAGACCTCCCCTAGTAGGCTGCAGATCCCACTGAGAAGCACAGGAGCTGGGGCCAAGAGTGGACAAGGAGGGGCAAGGCTGCAGCACCAGCTGGCACACAATGACAGTCAGGACAAGGTGTGGGCTGAGCCCAGCTGGGATAGGTTGTAACACTCACTAGTGAGAGCTGAGACTGTGGGTGGACCATGCCAAGCTGAGGTGAAGCACCAGCCAGCATGCATGAGATCTGGTGCTGGGAACAGGCATCATAGGGGACTTTGGGGACTCCCCTGCTGAGGCTGCAGCTCCCACTGGTGAGCAGGAGAACAGGAGCTGTGGTGGACCAGGCTGGGCAAGGCTCTAGCACCCACCCACCCACAAGAGGCAGAATGGATGTAGGCCAGTTGGGCTATGCTGCAGTACACACTGGTGAGTGGCATAACTCGGGGCCAGCCATATAAGGTTGGGCTTTGGCAGCCGCAAGCATATGCAAAATCTGGGACTAGAAGCTGGACTGGTAGGGGAACTTCGGGAACTCCCTTGTTAGGTTGCAACTCCTGCTGGTGAGTATCAGAGCCGGGACTGGGGGATGCCAGACCAGGGTGGGCTGCAGTACCCATTGGCATACGTGTGAGCTGGTTCTGTGAGTGGGCTGGGCTGGGCTGAGCCAGACCACAGCACACATTGGCACAAGTGCAAGTCAGGATGAGACACATGCCAGATCAGGTTGAACCACAACATCCACCAGTTCACATGAGGGCTAGGGGCGGGCCATACGGGCTGGCAAGAGCTAGAACTGGGGATGGGCCAGACTGAGCCATGCTTGTAACACCAGCTGGCAAACATCGAGTCTGGGAGCAGGCCATCTCAGACTGGTCCACAGCACCTGCTGGCATGCACTAGACCTGGTGCTGGGAGTAGACCTGGTAAGGGAACTTCAGGGACTCCCTTACTGGGCTGCAGCTTCCACTGGTGTGTGTGTGAGAGCTGGGATGGGGAGTGGGTCTGGCTGGGCTAGGTTACTATACTCACAGGTTCACATGAGAGCTGCAAATGGGAGTGTCCCAGGTTGGGCAAGGCTGTAGCACCTGCTGGCAAGTGAGGGGACTAGATGTGAATCATATCAGACTGGACCACAGTTTATCCTGGCAGGCTCAAGATCCAGGTCTATGAGTGGGCATGGTAGGGGAACAGCAGGAACTCACTGCTGGACTGCAGTTCATACTGGTCATCGTGAAATCCAGGACTGAGGGCAGGCCAGGTTAGTCAAGGCAGCAGTTCCCATTGGCATAAGTGTGGCCTAGCTTGGGGGTGTGGGTCAGGCTGAGTTAAGCTGCAGCACTCCCATGAGAATGCACAAGAGCCATATGGGATGTAGGACAGACTGGGTTAAGCCAAGTACATGCCAGCACATACAAAAGTCAGTGCTGGGGTAGGTCTTGTGAGGGTCACTGGGAGGTGCTCCAACTAGGTCACAGCATCCGCTGGTGTGCCTGAAGACTGGGCCTGTGGGGGGCTGGGCTGGGCTGGGCTAAGCCACAGCACCCATTAGTTCACATGAGAGAGGGGCTAGAGACAGAACTGACCAGAAAGTTGTACTCACTGGTATGTGCATTGGCTGGTGCAGGAGCAGATGGAACCTGACCCTGCACTGGCTGACAAACACAAGAGTCAAGTCTGAGGCTAGCTCAAGCAAGGCTTCTTGAGGGACTCCCCAACTAGACTGCTAGACTCAAACCCCAGCCACAGGAAAAATTACCATGTATGTGGTCCAATCTTGGAGTGCATGTGGTCAGGACTGAGCCTCCTTAATTCCTGATGCCTGTGCAGTGGACAGCATGTCCAGAAGCACATGAGGGACATGACTGCCAGCTCAGCCAGGTCGGCAGAGGACATCGAGTGGCTAGTCAGAAGATCCAAGGCGAAACAGGTTGGACCACCCTCTGGACAAGCTCTGCAACACGTTTCCAACCTGTGGCTACACTATGGTAGACATGGTCAGCCAATAGACCTTTGAAAGAGTCTTCCCAACCCTGGTGCAATGAATCTGGCAATGGCTCAGAACTATCAAAACCACCTTGTAACACCCTCAGAACACTCTTCCACACATCAGAGTCTCTAAGGTGTCATCAAATGACCATCCCTCATCCTTGGGTGCTGATGTAGTTAGACAGCAGGGAGTAGGCCCCTCCCCTTCTCATGCTGCAGGACCCAGGAGGAAAAAAGTTGAAATATTTGTCCCATCCACCTGTCTCTGTATTTTGAACCTCCTACCCTAATCAAGGATCCACATGGGTGTACATACCTCTCAACTACATAAACAGTATTAAAAATAAAAATATAATAAAAATATTTAAAAGTAAGGAATATATAAGTTAAACTTCATCAACATTAAATGCTTTCATACTGCTGAAGAAAGTGAAAGGACAGCCTACAGAAATGAGGAAAACCAATGCCAATCCTATTCCTGACAAGGACCTAACAACTGAAATTTAAAAGAACTTTAACTCAAAAATAACAAGATAAACAGACTTGAATAGCTATTTCAGCAAAGAGCTGCACAAGTGTGTTTAAAGAGGCACCTGGCTAGCCCTTGAAGAGATGTAAATCAAAGCCACAATGAGATTCCACTTCACACACTGGGCTGGCTATAATCACAGTTAATGATCAATGATGAGAAAGTAGAAACCAGAACCCTCAAACCCTGCTGCTGGACCACAACGTAACAGTGCGGCCACTGTGGAAAACAACCTGGAAGTCCCCCAAAAAGTGAAACATAGAGCAGCCACATGATTCAGAAATTCCATCTCTTAAGTCTGTTCCCTAAAAAATTGAAAGCAGAGTATCAGCTTACTCAAGCCACTGCTCACATGTCAAGTGTCCCAAGTTGGCACTGAGTCCCAGCTGCTCCACTTCAGTTCCAGCTTCCTGCTAACATGCCTGGGAAAGCACTGGAGGGCCCAGGTGCTTGGGGCTCTGTCACTACATGGGAGAACTGGATGAAGCTCCTGATCCTGCTGCTGGCCTGTCCCAGCCCTGGCCATTGTAGCTATCTCAGAAGTAAAGCAGTGGATAAAATTCTCTGTCTCTCTTTCTTTCTGTAAACTCTTTCAAATAAATAAATAGTCTTTAAAAAGAGGGAGAGCTGGCATTGTTGGGCAGCAGATAAAACTGCCACCTGCAACACTGGCAGCCCATATGGGTACCAGTCCAAGCCTCAGCTGCTCCACTTCTTTTTTTTTTTTAAGATTTATTTATTTTTATTACAAAGTCAGATATACAGAGAGGAGGAGAGACAGAGAGGAAGATTTTCCGTCTGATGATTCACTCCCCAAGTGAGCACAACGGCTGGTGCTATGCTGATCCGAAGCCGGGATCCAGGAACTTCTTCCAGGTCTCCCACACGGATGCAGGGTCCCAAAGCCTTGGGCCATCCTCGACTGCTTTCCTGGGCCACAGGCAGGGAGCTGGATGGGAAGTGGAGCTGCCGGGATTAGAACTGGCACCCATATGGAATCCCGGTGCATTCAAGGCGAGGACTTTAGCCGCTAGGCCTTGCCGCCGGGCCCAGCTGCTCCACTTCTGATCTAGCTCCCTGCTAGTGCACCTGAGAATGACAGGATGACACTAGTGCTTGGACTCTGCCACCCACGTGGGCAAGCCAGGTTGAGTTTCAGGCTCTCGGCTTGTGCCTGGCCCAGCCTCGGCTGTTGTCGTTCTTCAGGGAGCGAACCAGCTTATGAAAGATCATCCTCTCTCTTTTTATCCCCCTCTCTCTGAAATTATTCCAATACACAAAGACTTTTTTTAAGAAGTCCAAAACAGTTGCTCGCTGCGGGAGCCTGTATACTAAAATGTCCCAACAAAGTAAATGAAGAGAGCAGAGAGTAGACTGAGACACAGCACTCCCAGAAGACGGTGTGGGGCCACAGGGACCCACAAGAACTTTCTCACAACAGGAGCCCTCCCTTAAGGCAGGAGGTCGGGCTCTGGGGGCAGCGGCCCCTCCCACCACAGAGCCTCACGTGCTCATTTTCCCTCTGTTGCCAACTGAGGAAAAAGCGCCTTCTGTGGCTTTCATCACCCCTCAAGATCTCAGAGGTCTTCCTTTCTGTTTCTTTTATTTCCCTTCCTGTCTCTACGCCTAATCAAAACAGATGAAGAAATTGCCGGGGGATCTGGCTCACACAGCCTTTGATAGGTTTCAGGAGGAGAACCGTGAGCTAAGCCACAGGCTCTGCTCCCTGACCACACAGTAGAGTCACCTGGGGAGCTGCGACTGTCACCTTTATCAGAACTGCCCAGGCATCTACTACAGAACTATTAGTTCAGGCAACTACTGCCAGAACTCGACAGGTGATTCCCATCTTACCATGAGAGTGAGGAGACATTTCCCACGCCCTAATGCACACACAGGTCCCCCGGGAATGTGTACAAAAGTCCTCAGTCTGAAGCCTGGTGCAGTAGCCTAACAGCTAAAATCCTCGTCTTGCACGTGCTTGGATCCCATATGGGCACTGGTTTATGTCCCAACAGCCCCTCTTCCCATCCAGCTCCCTGCCTGTGGCTTGGGAAGCAGTCGAGGACAGCCCAAGGCCTTGGGACCCTGCACTTGCAATGGGAGACCTGGAGGAATTTTCTGGCTCCTGGCTTTGGATCAGCTCAGCTCCAGCCGTTGTGGCCACTTGGGGAGTGAATCTTCGGATGGAAGATCTTCCTCTCCGTCTCTCCTCTTTTATATCTGCCTTTCCAATAAAAATGAACAAATCTTAAAAAAATTAAAAAGGCCTCAGTCTGATTTGCAATTGGCTGGTGGTATGGGCAGGACCTGAGATTCTGAGCATCTCACCAGCTGCCAAGGGAGGATGAGGCTGCCAGGCCAGGGCTCGCAGGAAGGGCAGCGGGGACAATGTCCAGCGCTGGTTGGGAGGTACCCTCACAATGGTCATATCTGATGGGTGGCAGTGCAGGCACAGTCAACCCCTGGGTTCTGACAACTCCTGGGCCTTGGACTCCACTGGGCGGCAGCTCTCTCTGTTCTTTTCTTCCACCTGACAGGCCTGGCTGGGAACACTGAAGTCTTACCTCTGGAATCATCCTCTGATTGATGCTGTCCCCAATGTCTCTCAGTTGCATGGCCAACCTCTGGATGACCTCCTCCTGGTGATGGTTCAGGCCGAGGTCACCCTCCTTGGACTGTGAAGGTGGACTGGGATCTGCACAGACAGGAGAGAGTTCAAAAGGGAGAGCTCCGTTTAATTGTTGATAAAAGTCATTTACTACTAGTTACTCAAAACAATATTAGACAGTGAGAGGGATGGACGCAACCATAACAATAACTAGCTAAAAGCAAACCCTGGGAGCGAAGTGGTCAAACATCATTTCGGATGCTTGTCGCCCATAACAGAGTGCCTGGGTTCAAATCCAGCTTTCTGCTACGCACAGCCTAGGAGCCAGCAGGTGGTGGTTCCAAAAGAACGGGCAGCTGCCACCAGCCAGTTAGACCTAGAATGAGTTCCTGGCTCCCATCTCAGTCTAGCCCAACCCCGGCCACTGTGAACATCTGGGGAGTGAACAACAGATGGAGGTTTCTCTCTCACTCTCCTTGTTCCTCTCAAGTAAAATAATTTATTTTAAGAAATTAAACCATTCAATGTATTTGTTAACTCCTAAAATATTTATTATTTTTATTTGAAAAGCAAATCTACAGAGAGGAGATACAGAGAGAAAGATTCCCCGTCCGCTGATTCACTCCCCATGTGACCACAATGGCCAGAGCTGAGCTGATCCGAAGCCAGAAGCCAGGAGACTCCCATACAGGTGCAGGGTCCCAAGTTTTTGGGCCATCCTCTACTGCTTTCCCAGGACACAAGCAGCGAGCTGGATGGAAAGCGGATCAGTTGGGTCACAAACCAGCACCCATACAGGAACCTGGCACGTGCAAGGCGAGGATTTAGCCATGCTCCTTCGTGCTGTGCCCTATCTATTAACTTAAAAGCTTTTATTTATTTTTCAAAATCAGGGCTATAGAGAAAGAGAGGCAGAGAAAGTGAGATTCTATCCACCGGCTCTCTCCCCGGGTGAATCTAATAGTCTGTGCTGGCGGTGCCTCAATCCAGCCTCTCTCATTTGGGTTAGGGGGGTCCAGTTACTCGAGGCATCACTACTGCCCCCAGGTCTACTTTGCCAGGAGGCTGGAGTCAGGAACAAACCTGAACACTCTAATAAGGCATGCAGGTGGCCTAACTACTCTTAACTGGTAGGCCAAATGCTCACCTCAAGAAAATATATTTCTGTCTACGAAAAACACAGCACTTTCAACATGTCAACTATTTTCAATGTGTAACTACTGTTACAAGTCATACCAAAAAAATAAATTAATTAATTAAATAAAATAAAGCACTTCTTACGTGTCATAAGTATCATACTCAAAAATATCTCAGGAATGTCTGGGCTGTGGTGATGTGGAAGAATACATTTGTTCTGAGGCCATTTCTTCCTCATGTGGAAATACTTAAGGATGAAATAATGTCTGCAACTCGCTCAGAAATGATTTACTGAGGGAAAACACCTCTGGGTAAGTGTTTTATACACATGTACAGAAAAATAGAGAAAAAGATAAAACATAAAGCAAATGTGGCAAATGTTAAAAAAAAAAGGGGGGGGGGAGTGAATCCACCATGAAGTGCTTTTAGCCATAGACATATTCTTGCCACTTTTCTGTAGATTAAAAATTTTCCAAAATATATATTGAAGGTGAAAAAGCATCACAGAAAAATTCTTAATAGCTACGTAAACTCTTCAGGTTGCTTTTTAGGGCCTTAGAACGTAGGTGAAGTTACCTCTGCAGCTCCTTACCCTTCTAGAAGCTTATGTTCTTACTAAACAATCTCTTATCTGAGCAATTCTTATATTTGAAGTTCATTTTGGCATAGTAGGGTAAGCTTCTGTCTGAGGGACTGGCATCCTGTGTGGGCACTGGTCTGGGTCCCAGATGCCTCACTTCAGATCCAGCTCCCTGCTTGTGGCCTGGGAAGGTGGCAGAAGGCGATTCAAGTCCTTGCCACCCTGCGCCTACATGGCAGACTAGGAAGGAATCCTTGGTTCCTGACTCCTGACTTCAGACCAGCTCAGCTCCATCTGCGGCAGCCATCTGCGGAGTGACCCAGAAGACGGAAGATCTCTCTCTCCTCTCTGTAAACTCTGCCTTTCAAGTAAACATTAAAAAAGAAGAAGAAGAAATTTTTCTTTAAGGTATCTTTTTCGGTCTTCCAAAAAAGACGTGGCCTCTCACAGAGCACTGTTAAGCTCTATCTGGGAACATCATACTCTCCACTTTGCTGCAATCATTGTGCATTTTTCTATTTACTGTATTAAGTACATATGCTAACGCAGTTACCCACTTGGACCGACATCGTCTCTAATAGTAATCATAGGATGCAGCAAGGCACTCCCTAAAAGCTTGCCATTAGAAGTAAATATAAGACTCATCTGAGAGCTAACAGGTAAGGCACAGCACCCAGGGGTGAGAGGGTGGTCACGGGAAGGGCTCGTAGCTCTTCGTGCAGGCTCCCCCCCCCCCCCCCCGAGCCCAGTCCCTCATCTCTTCAGGCCCAGTTCTGGATTGCATCCTTAATATATATTTTTTTAAGCTGTCCTGCTGCAGAGCCCCCACTTGGCACCTACAGCCTGTCCGGGGGGGAGGAGCGCCAGCGGTCACGTGGGCCGGGCCGGCCAATGGGGCGCGCGCTGCTCGCTCCCGGCCGCCTGAGGGACGGTCAGCGCCCGGCGCGCAGTCCCGGGTGGCACGGCCCGCCCGCTCGCCTCGGCCTGTCGCCCCGTGTGCTCAGGCCTCGCTGGGCGCCGCCGTCCCGATTCCCGCGGCCCTCACGGCGCCGCCTCGCAAGCCTGGCCCCGCCACACCCACACCCCGCGTGTCTGCGGCCAAACCGTCGCCCGCGCGCGCGTCTTGGGCCAGTGGACCGTGAGGGGCGGACGAGGCGGGCCGGGGCTGCGGACCGAGGCGCCTCTCCTGCTGGGCAGGCGGCGAGGCTCACGCCCCAGGCCCACAGCAGATGTTTATGTCAACAGGGCATCGACCCTGGCCCGAAAATGGACACGGAGAGCGGGCGGGCGGCTGGCTGCGCAGCGCCTTTTAATTTCGCCCTCGCTCTGCTCCTGAAGGGGTTTAGGTAAACGGGGCGATGCCAGCTGGTCGCCCAAAGCTAGCCGTCAGCTTCACGAGGGTGGGGTAAGTGTGAAAACATGAGAAAGGGCTGGCAGGGGTTTTAAAAAAAAAAAAAAAGGAAAGAAAGAGTGAGTTTTGGGACAGGGGTAAATTTGTACAACTTTGGGAGCCTTCTAAAGCCCAGTGAACCGTGCCCGTTAGAAGGGTGAGCTTATGGTCCGTGAGTCACATAGAGGTAAAAAAGAAAAGCAGGTGAAAGGTTAAGTGCTAGAAGGTGTTTGTAGGCGACAGGATCTCGAGCCTTGAGAAGTGACTGTGGACATTTGAACAGGTGAAAACTTGGCAGTTCGCGCCTTGCCTGCACTTGATCTTATTGCCACAATGGTGGTGGCAGGCCATTACCTGGACGCTTTCCACCTTCTCAGGGGCTTGCTAAGGTTGGATAATACAAATGTGCCCTGATGGTGCCTTCCGGGGCCCAGCATATATTTCATCTAAAAGAAGCAGAAGATGCTGCACACTGAACACCAATGCTTTCCTGTAATGTCCCTCAACACACACATTTAATTTTCCAGCATTTGAGAACATGCAGAAATCATGCTTTTTTTTTTTTTTTTTTTTTTTTTTGCAAAACAAAAACGTCACACTTCCCTTCATGTTCTCTCCTATTTGAACAAAAATCAACAAGGAACCTAATCTGAATGGTCCCTACCTTAACAATTGTTAGGCCAAGTTTAAACACATATTTTTATTAAAAGACAAATTTGATGTGTGCTAGCTGATCCGGGGTCATCTTAGCGAGTCACCGCATGAATAATAATTCAGAGCTAATGGAAAACTAAAAGATTGAGAACCATGAAGCAAAGTCAGTTTTAGGTTATTTTTTTTTCCCCAACAAAGACCTTGAATGAATAGATTAACCTCTGTTTTCTTACAATTAATGTTTAAATAACATTCATATACTTAATGCGTAGTTTTACATCCCTAATATGGGGGAGAAGACATGCAAAATGCGTTACTTGCCTTAGTTTAGTCCACATGCTGTCTTACCTGGATCCGCTGACATAGCCGGAGCGAGCTGGGAGCCGACAAGTCGGGTCATGTATGCCTGCTCAACTCTATATTTTGCCCACCGCCATTTGCAACAATTTGTTACTTTGGGAGATGGATTCAGGACTGCTGTAGGTTCATAAACAATCCTATGGTGTTTTTTCCTCTCCATGTTTTTTCCCTGTTGAAAAAAAAATGGGCAGTACTTAAACCCTGCCCCAAACTCTGACTCCCGTGAACACTCAGTTAAATTCCGCCCAAGAACCAGCTGGTGTGCTACAGGATCTTATAAAGGGATAACGCGGAACCTCCCCGGATGCAGTTCACCCTCGTATGCACCTGCACACACTCTCCAGGATGTTCTTTCTTGAACCAGTGACAAGAATCTTGACCTAACAACTCATGGTAATGCTATCAGCTTTAAAAATCAGTAGCAGGGACCTGGTGCGGTAGCCTAGTGGCAAGTCCTCACCTTGCACGCCAGGATCCCATATGGGCACTGGTTCTAATTCGGGTTGCTCCACTTCCCATCCGGCTCCCTGCCTGTGGCCTGGGAAAGCGGTTGAAGACGGCCCAATCCTTGGGATCCTGCACCCACATGGGAGACCCAGAAGAAGCTCCGGGCTCCTGGCTTCAGCTCGGCAGAGTTCTGACCATTGCAGCCACTTGAGGAGTGAATCAGCGGATAGAAGATCTTGCTCTCTCTGTCTCTACTCCTCTGTGTAGCTGCCTTTTCGATAAAAATAAATAAATCTTTCATGCAACTCATGTCTTTAAAATCTGGGCACAGCGGTTGGGATGCCTGGGTCTCATGTTTTAGGGTCTCAGTTCAGATCCCAGTTCTGATTCTAATTCTAACTTCCTGCGAATCGTTCACACACTGAGAAGCGGCAGCTATGGCCACGTGGCTGCCTTCTGCCACCGCATGGGAAGCCTCCATCGCGCTCATGGCTCCCAGTTCTGGCCTGACCCGGCCTCAGGTGCTGCATGCATTTGGGGAATGAACTGACTGATGGGAAGCTCTGTTAGTCTCTGTCTCTCTTTTTTTCTATGTCTCTTAAATAAACGAATTAAGGATTTAAAAAATATGGGGAGTCTGGGGCTGGCACTGTGGCTCGACCAGCTAATCCCCCGCCCTGTAGCACCAGATTCCTGTTTGAGTGCCAGTTTGCTTCACTTCCCGATCCAGCACTTTGCTTCTGGCTGGGAAGGCAGCAGAGAATGGCCCAAGTCCTTGGGCCCCTGAACCCACATGGGAGACCTAGAAGAGACTCCTGGCTTTGGAACACCTCAGATGCAACCATTTAGGGAATGAGCCAGTGGGTAGCAGACTTTCTCTCTATCCTTCTCTCTGTTCTCTGCAAATCTGCCTTTCAAATAAATAAATCCTTAAATATATATGTATAAGGTGCAGGTGTATGGCAGAGCTGGTAAAGCTGTTGTTGGAAGCTGTTGCTGTTCCTCTTCCAATCCAGCTCCCTGCTGATGCACCTGGGAAAGCAGCAGAGATAACCCAGAGCTGGGGTCCCTGCCACCTATGTGGGAGACTCTGATGAAGCTCCTGGCTTTGGTTTCACACCATTTCTACCGTAAGAGGGAATGAACCATTACATGATAAATCCGTCACTTGCTTTCTCACGCTGTATGTCTCCTTTTCTCTAACTTTCAAATAGTCTTCAAAAATTTATAAGAGAGAAAACGATCAATGTTAATTATATTTTTATATAAAAGTTGCTTTTAGGATATATGGGAGCTCTTCTGTGTAGTTATTGGAGTAATTGAATAATTGCCTTTCAGAAATGTGTCTTCCTGAAAACGCCAGAAAATCCCAGAGTTCATGAAAGCAAGAACATGGATTTTCTTTTTAAAAAAGATTTATTTTGGGGCCCGATGCAGTGGCCTAGCAGTCTAAAGTCCTCGCTTTGAATGCACCAGGATCCCATATGGGTGCCAGTTCTAATCCCGGCAGCCCCGCTTCCTATCCAGCCCCCTGCCTGCAGCCTGGGAAAACAGTCAAGGACGGCCCAAAGCCTTGGGACCCTGTACCCGCTGTACCCGCGTGGACCTGGAGGAGGTTCCTGGCTCCTGGCTTCAGATCGGCATAGCACTGGCCATTATGGTCACTTGGAGAGTGAGTCATCGGACAGAAGATCTTCCTCTCTGTCTCTCCTCTGTATATCTGGCTTTGTGATAAAAATAAAATAAATCTTTTTTTTTAAAAAAAGGATTTATTTCTTTTTATTGGAAAGGCAGATTTACAGAGAGCAGGACAGACAGATCTTTCATGCACTGGTTCACTCCCTAAATAGCCACAATAGCAGGAGCTGAGTCAATCCAAGGCCAGGAGCCAGGAGCTTCTTCTGAGTCTCCCACATGGGTTCAGGGTCCCAAGGCTTTGGGCCGTCCTCTACTGCTTTCCCACCCACAAGTGGAGACCTGGATTGAAAATGGAGCAGTCAGGACACAAAGCAGTGGCCACAAGAGATTCCAGCATTTACCAGGGGAGCATTAGCCTACTGAGCCATCTTGCAATGCCTGAGGATGGATTTTCACATGGAAATCCAGGCAACTTTGAATTATATTGTCTATTTGATATTCAATAGCTTACTTCAAATATCTTCTTCATTATTTGTTTCTGAAAATTTTCATTTAACAAAACAATGTATTTTATCTACCTCACAGGTTCTGATTTAAAGTTTAAAGTGCAAACAAGTGAAGTTTTTATGACTCTTGTAGCAACTGATTCATCAGTGGGTTTACATTTTGCTTTGTATGTGAGCTAGGCTGAGTCATGCCGCCACCAGAATGCCCATACTTAGTCCCTGTAACCTGTGAAGGTGTTACCATACGTGGGGAGATGGGATTTGGAGATGTCCGTTGAAGTAAAACTCTCAAGATGTTGAGATTATCCTGGATCATCTGGGCCCACCCTAATCACGTAGGATCTTACGGAGGGAGGCGGGAGGTTGGAACAGGGTAGGAAGTGTGACCTTGAAACAGGTTGAATGATGCAGTGATGTGAGAGAGGGTTTATGAACCAGGAAATATAGACAGCCTCTCAAAGCTGAAAGGCAGGGCAATGAATTCTCTCCTAGAGCATCCAGAGGGATGCATCCCTGCCAAGTTATTTTCGACCTCTGACCTTCAGAGCCACAAGGTGATTATTTTGTGTTGTTTAAAGCTGTTCAGTTGTGACCGTGTGTGAAGGCCGTGATAAATGACTTATACACCATGTTGATCTGTACATCAAGTATTGCCAGTATGTGATAAGTCTGTAAATGTTCATTGTAAAATATATGTGGAGATGTGGCTATGGAAGTACTATAATAAGGCCTGTTGTCCACAATAAATAAATAAATAAACAATCAAAATAACCGAGAATGTCGGACTCTGAATAACCGCTTGTTTGTGGTGGTAATTGTAAATTGTAATGAGCAATTGATGATGAAAATATCCATATTGCTCTTGGTTCTTTGCTGAATTGGCCCACCTGGCCTGTCAGATATTCTCTTTATTAAGGATGAGAGGATCTCTCTAACTCTGCCTTTCTAATAAATAAAAATCTTTAAAAATAAATAAATCACCCAAAGAAAACATGCACCCTCTTAAACACCTTTTAAAATTATAATATGCCCAAGTTTAAGTTATGTTTTAATAACTTTTAAAATCATGGCAGAAATACATTAAGTTTCTCTTTTCTTCTGTTGACTCTGATGTTGACACCACTCTGTGGTGTGGCAGTGCTAGTGGAAGTTTCTCCACCCCTTGTTTCAAGGGAAAGGAAAATCTTCCAGAGAGCGTCAAATCTCAGCTATTCTGCTTATGCAGACAATATTTACAAACATAACTAAGGTCATATTTAAGACGGTTTTAGAGCCCAAGCCAAATTCCACTTCCTGAGATACTGTCGAATATTTATTTCTATACAGGTAGAATCAAGTTACAACTGCATTATGTGCACAAATTTGAAGGAGAGAATAAATCATAGGCAAAAACCTAGTGCCAAGGATTTTCAAGGTCCCCTCCACACCTGGTATTTCACGACCAGACCCAAACAAAGCACGTTAACCCCAAACTGTCTTACTTAAACACAGAGAGACAGGGTCAGGCAGAGAGATTTCCATCCTTTGGTTCCCTCCCCAGATTCCTACAGCAGCTGAGGCTGGGCCGGCCTAGAGTTGCAAGAACCTGCAACTCTATCAGGGTCTCCCAGGAGGGCAGAAGAGGCCCAAGCACTTGAGTTGGGCCCGTTGCCTCCCAGAGTACACATTAGCAGGATGTTGGCTTGGAAGCCAGAAGCAGGACCCCAGGCACTCCCTTGTTAGGTATGTATATCCCAGACTGTGTCTTCATCATTCATGCTCACCCCTGCTCACTCACTGGAGTTTTTACGAGGGAGCATGAAGCCGGAAAGGTCCATCTTCAAAGGAACTTTGGAGTTTCAAAGTCAAAATGGTCAGAGTCTCACCTAAAGGTGCATGCAGTGGTCACTGCGTCTCTTTGAGACTTGACCTGTGCATCTGTGAAAGGGCCCTATGCAGGCCTGACCTGCCCGGCTGCTGGAACTGCATCTGCCCAGCAGACAGAAGGCGTTCAGCCAACAGCCGGTGTCCTTGGACTCCACGTTCCTCATTTCCACATAAAAACGTGCAAGATCAGAGAGGTAATGACCCAACAAAGGTGGCCAGGCTAGTTTCAGGTGCCAGATGTCCTTTGTTCATTTTAGTCTTCTCAAAAGCAAGTCTCTGCAGTGAATCCCACCCCAAGGCTGAGTAGCTACTGATTTTCAGCGTCTTATGGGCCTACATTCATGAACAAGAAGTAAGACTAATCGAAATTACTAGCTAAACTTAAATATTAAGTGCTACAGAAATTCAAAGCAGAAAATGAACTTTCTGAAATTGCTGTTAATGTTGTTCACATGTTGTTATCATTTGGCTTATGAAAAGTTAAATGGCAGTTGAGCATTTAATAATGAGCTACTAATTCTTTCCAGACCAAACTGAAGAACTTATGTCACGTGCGTGTGTGTGTGTATGTGTGCACACATACAAACCTTTTAAGAATAAGAATCTATGAGAGCAATTACTTGGTATGTCATTTAAAAATATGCTACAGAGAAAACCAAAAATCCTATTAAGAAGTAATGTTAAGGGTCAGCCTTGTGGCACA